ATGTTTCTGTCTTACAAGAACACTGTTTTAGTCGGTGCATTCCTTTGGTGTTTTCTAAATGCTGCTTCCTTTGTTTTGGTTTTCCACCCTTTCCCCATCTTTACATCTAGTTTTATTTTTAGAAAAATCACGTAAGTATTGGGGTACGGGAGAGACAGCTCAGTGATTAAGAGCTCTTGCAAGGGACCTGAGGTCAATTCTCAGCACCTACATCAGGTTGCTCTCAATGGCCTCAAACTTCACACCCTGACACTTGCACTCATATCCTCAGACACACACACACACACACACACACACACACACACACACACAAAGAATTAAAAATAATAAATGCTTTTAAAGGACACAAGTATTGATAGTTTTTAGGTCTACTCTGCCACTCTGTGTGTTTTAATTGCTGGCTTGGCCATCTGTGGACAACTCATCTTACACCTGCATTTGCATGCTGGACCTTGCTATCAATCTTCTATCTGCCCCATTGGTTCTCCGGAATGTTTTCCCTTTTACCCTCATTTGTATTAAACAGGTTATCTGGCCACATACCTGCCCGTCTCCCCTGCTTTGGCTATTGCATTCCATACTATGCTGTTTAGAGAATACGCCGCTGATTAGAGCAATTATCCTTGATTTAATAAGGCAATAGACATTGACACCATTACCACTTTGTAGATAACTAAAGCAGCTCTGATGATCTTAATTCTTCCAACTGCTGTGTTGCTGATGCCATCCTAAGTCTCTTAAATCTGGATTAACCCATGGCATGGCCACATCGTTCACAACAGGGACTCTTTGAGGAGACTGGGGATCCCCTAAGGGAAGGGCCTTTCCATTTGTTTCCCCTCCCTGGTTTCGCTGAACTTCATCCTCTTAGAACTTTCTAGATAGAATTGAGAGCTAAGGCAGATTTTGCATAAACATAGTAGTAACAGTATTTCACAGCAATGGTCTGAGTTTTATGTTCTATCATCCCAAAGTCATGTTACTGTGGACCTCATGATCCTCATGTGTGATAAATGGCACGGCCCTTGAGAAGCATCTGACATGCTACCTATCTCAGCTCTGGGACCAGTGACATCTGGGGATGCAGAATTCTTTCTTGGGGGAATGTCTTGAGTATTTTAGATTTTCCAGAGATACTACTGGCCTCTACCCACTAGTTAGTATTCCCCAGTCACAAAAGTCAAAAAATGTCTCCAGACGTCACCAAGAATCCTCTCAGGGGAAAATTTCAGTTCCAGCTCAGATGTACTGGTATAAAATAAAACTTCAAGTTTTTTTCTATACTCTTGTTCAGGGCTTTGAGACTAGGAGGAGCTAAATGATTCCCAACGAAATCACTGTTCGGAAGAGAAACAGTTTAAAAAGTGGACGTGAAGAGATGGCGTCCAACACTTTATGACAGAGATAAGGGTAAGCCACGATCACAGGAAGGCATGTGAGTGGGATATACCTAGCGCCTCATCCTAAATGTGGCAGGATTAACAGGTTGTGGAACCTTTAAAAGATGGGGCCAATGGAAGGTGATTTGCATGGGGGCGTGGCTTCTATAAGAGACTGACAGTGAACTAGGAAAATACATTTGTTGTTCTGAAAACAAGTTTTTAGGAAAGAAAATAAGAGCAAGCCTGGGCTCTCCTACTCTCTGGTTTTGTGTCTACCTAAATAAGTTCTCCTCATGTAAGCCATCATGTCAATCCACCATGTTGCTAGCTTACAAAACTATTAATCAAATCAACTTCTCGTTATAAAGTACCCAGCTTCAGGTATCTTATTATTGCAATAGAAAATGATCTAACACAGAGTGGCACCTAACTGAGTCTGGGGTCCTTTCCTGGAAGCACAGAAGAATTTCAAGACTTGAAATGTAAAACTACCCTTCTCTTTCCCAATGAGCCCCCAAGACAATAGGCCAAGAATAAAACACTCAGAATGGAAATTATCAAACCCCATTTACTTTTTAGGCTGTTTTAGAACAGAACCAATAAAAAATTCTATTATGTAACACAGAGACCCGGGTTAGGGGACCCTGAAGCGTGCTATAGGTGGCACAGTCACCATCTACTTCTTCAGTGGTTAATAGCAAATATATTGCATTTTCTTATGTCATGTCACTCAGTGTGACTGAAAGCAGATGGCTTGAATAGAAAGCAAATTAACAGCAGTGAGGATTCATCTCTCTCCTTCCTCTTTCTTACACACACATACACACGAACACACTTTCTCACACACATGCTCATACAGCATGTCACATACACATGCACACACACAGACTCTCCTCTCTCACATGAGCACACATGCACACACACACACACACACATTCTCTTTCTCACACACACATGCATATATACAGACTCTCCCCTCTTGTGCACACACATTCACACATGCACACACACAAACACACTCACTCATGCACACACTCTTTCTCATACACACATGCATACACTCAGACTCTCCTCTCTCTAGCACACACACACATGCACATGTACACACACACAAACACACTCATGACACACACTCATGCACACACAGCCTCTCCTCTCTCTCTCTCACACATATGCATATGTGCACACACACACATACACAAATACACTCATGCACATACACATGCACACACACTCATTCATGCACACACATTCACACCTACCTTCTTGCTGACTCTGATGCCTATCAAATGACAGACACTTCCCATCTTCCCACCCAAGTATTCTCCAGCTCTTGTGTAACACAAGTCCATCTGGCTACCTATCCTGTCCTAGAACCCAGGCACCTTTGCCAGCCTTCGCTGTATTTAACCATACCTATAGTATAACATACTGTCTGATATAACGTGACTGGTCACAGGCTGTAAGAATGGAGATAGTATATACTTCTTCCAGGTCTCACATGGCAACCTCCTGTACCCCGTGACCCATGCCAATTGCCCCCTCGCTGACTCGATACATTTGCACATTGCAAACCAAGATATAAAGATGGCAGCATCGAGGCATGGAAGGAGCCTGACTCTGAGTGTATACTTGGAAGAGAGGCCCTAACAGGAATGCCATTTTGAGTTTATAGGAATTAGAAGTAAATTTCCATGTGCTAAGTCACTAAGATTTTGAAGGTTTATCTAGTACCCACAGCTAGCATTACCCACCTACTATACCAAAACACACAAAGAGCCAGGTTTGCTCAGCAAGTGTAATCCCTTAGTTCCCCAAACATGCATGGTATTTTGGCCTTGTTCACCGCTCCAAAGCATTTCCCTGAGCCTTCCTGGACTTGGATGGTTATGAGAGAAGCTATTTGCAGGGCCATTGCTAAATCTCACACTTCATCTAGTGTCTGCAGCACAGGGATATGAAAAGAGGGTGGGCTTTGATGTCAGACAGATGTGGCTGGGAATCTTACCCAGCCCTGACAACTCTTTGGCTTCAACTCCCTGGGCTTTTGTTTCTTCATCTGCAAAATGAGGGTAATGATACCTCATTGTTGCTTGTTGTAATTTGGCAAAGAGGGTAGAATAAAAGAAGCCATCGCCTTCAAAACACACACACAGTTCCTGGTGTCCCCAAAGCACTCAGTAATTCCCCCCAACAACCATGAAATTAACAAATTAACAATTTATTTACCCTTCTAATCAGAAAAACTAGGCAAGAGGGAGCTTTTCCACACTGGACCATGTGTTTATTTTTCTGTGTAAATGTTGACTATTTCACACAGAGGAATGAGGTTCAACAAATACTTTTATGTTGTCTTTGGTCCAAAAAAGGAGCACTTAAATTGTAGGAATCTTGAAAAGTCAAAATGTAAACAAAGACAACGTAATTTTTAATAACTTTTTTCTCTTACGAGAAACAAATGTCCTACTTTCACATTAGTGATAGCGAAAGCCATGCTGGAGTTTGATCCAGAAGAAAACAACAGATATTAATCGCCATGAGGCTGGGACCTTCTCCCATTGCCCCATGGCCTTGGATACAACAACTTGATTGAGAAAGGATGGCACATCACAAAACAAGGAAGTTGGGTCAGGCAGTCCATTTCACCCAAGCAAGTCTATAAAAGAGATTTGTCTCAAAGCAAGCGAGCGTTGGCAACAGGGCACCTAAGCAGAGCGGTGTTTTCCCAGGTAAACTGGCAGAGCAATGAACTGTCGAAGTCCCCAACCCCCAGTACAGAAGGAAGCTGAAATGTCAGGACAGTCAGTGGTGCTGCAGGGGGAGGCACAGAGGAGAGGCCGCCCACCAGCATGACTAAGTGCTCCTGGGGACAATCCCCACTCAGAGGGCAGAAAGCAAATATCCAGATGTTTTGAGCTGTCAGACATGATTAACTGAGGAAAGGTGAGGCTGCCCACTTAACCACCAGAGCAACCTTCCTCATCGAAGGACCCCAGAGTTCCCTGCAAAAGCATTCACAGGCAAAATAAATGGAGGCTCCGCCCAACTCCAGTCCCACTTCTGCTGCCCACCCTCCGATCAAGTCAGAACAGCGGCCTATTTTAAACCAGTGGCAACGTGTTCTCTCGTGGAAACGTGTGGGTTTCCTGAGACAGGCTGGTGCTCAGAGAATCAGGCATGCGGAAGGCTGCGCCCACTCGCCCGTCCTTCCTCTCCCACCAGAGTACAAGGAGGAGTCCCAGGAGGAGAAGCCTGAGGAGCAGGGGAGGAACTGCTGCCATCTTCCATGGCATTAGTTCACTCCTCTGAGAAATAAGCTGAGGTCATGTTAGGAGCAGCCTCATGTAAAGAAACCAATGGATGCTTCAAGCCTGGGAAGAAGAAATCAAGCCCCAGATGCTGGCCCCAGTGTCTTCTCTAGCACCTATAGCAGGAGTTTATATGGCTCTCAGTGTCTATGTAACATACTTCAAAGCAATTTTAAGTGTAGTAGAAAATATTTCTTTGAACATTGGAGACTTGCTTTTACCAAGGTCTCAAAAACAATTTACAAATCAAAACAAAACAGAATACAGAAAACATTTTTTTTGGGGGGGCACCATGTTGCTTTTGACTTACAATCGCTCCAGCTGCTTCAGATCCTGGAAGGCGCCTCTCTCGATGATGCTGACCTGATTGTCTTCCAGATGCCTAGAATCAGAAAGGCAGCCAAGGTCAAGGACCGAAATGGGATAGGGGGTCCTCATGGGGGGAGCCTTAGGCTGTGCAGCCATATCATCGACTCCCTCCTAGGACCCCCTAGGCCCCTTCAATAGGAATCACTCTAACGGGACGAAATAACTCACATCCCAATGTAGTGTCCCTGTAACCAGGGATTCAACGCCCACACACTTCTACCTGACAGACTGGCTTCCATGTCTCTATTTTAAGAATGTTACCAGCAAATGTCCCCTGGAGCGCTGCAGAATCATGCACAGAAATGGAAGAGGTAAAGCTGCTTCTTGGGAAAAACAAGCACATTCAATACCTCTTCTTTGAAGTTCCTCCTCCAAGGATTCCAAAATACTTCACTGGAAAGGGCCTTCCCTGCTCAACCTCATGGAAAGGATGGAGGTCACTGTGAAACAGTACTGTGGCTAAGACAGCTAGTCTGGACCCAGGGATTCCCTTATGTAGAGTCAGGCTCACCCCAACCTCCTAAAGATGCTCACAAAAGCTGTTGCTACCCTGGCTACATCTTTGCTGGACCTTAAGTTCTCCCTGTAGGTGATTAAAAAATCTTAAACACTCTGCATGAGTTTGATCCATGCATGCTGCATACCCTAAGAGTCGAGCATACAATGAAGCATTTGTTTCCCTGACTTAAAAAAATAAAAGCAGATTAAAATGGATTAGTAACTAATCATTAGTTGGACAGTAGGGACAACTGCAAAGATGATGCCTGAATTCTGAATGGGAAAGGGGCCAAGAAATGACAGGGATTTGCATTTGGTGGCTGTGTGGGATTTGTGGAGATGTGTGGTTGTGATCGAAGGTTGTTTCTCAAAAGGAGGAGGAATTCAGGGACAGACACAGTTTTCCTTGGGAATGGCAAAAGCATGGCCTTAGGTAAGGTCCATCTTCCCTCTAAAACAGACCTTCCATGTCAGCTCCAACTCTTGGAACGTCCTAACCTTCAGCGTGTTTTAGGCTTAAGGCTCAACCTTTGTGCTTCACTTCTCCCATCTCTTCCCAAGGAATAAAGAACAGACCTTGTCTTCCTCATACTCCTGGACCTAGCACAGTGACCTACCATGACAGCCTACTGAATCAAAAGCACAGCCGTGGGCCCAGCACATACTGGTTTCCCATAGAAGAAAAGGTGAACCAACAAGGTGAGGTTTCTATCAGGGCACCGAGGGGTAATTTGTCGGTACAAATATTTAAACACATTTGTGTTTGTAAATGTTAACTGGCCAGAAGGGTCAGTCTATCAGCCAGACTCTTCAACCTCTCCAAGCTCCACTTATGTGACTTCTGTCCCTTGGAGGCCAGTTCCTTCCAGGACACTCATTTAACAGGGAAAAACAGAGTAGCTAGGAAATTTGCCCAAGGGGAACCACACAGCTAATGAGAGGATTTTCAGGCCCCCAGTACGCTTTAGGACAATGGCTTTCAACCTTTCTGAGGCTGCTGTGACCCTTTAATACAGTTCCCCATTTTGGGGTGACTTCTAACCGTAAAATTATTTTCGTTGATACTTCATAATGAAATGTTGCTACTGTTATGAATCATAATGTAATGTAAATACCTGTTTTCCAGTGGTCTTAGGAGACTCCTGTGAAAGGGGCATTCGACCCCTAAAAGGAGTTGTAACCCACAGGCTAAGAACCATTGCCTTAGGATCTCTGCCCTACTTCTTTTATAATAAGAATAATAATAGTAATAATTTATTATTTAATTACTTCTGATGAAAGCTTCCCCTCACTTTTCTCCCCCCAGTCTCTCCCTCTCACCCCCCTTTCCTCTCACCCAACTCTCCTCCCCTTCTCTTCAGGAAAGGGGAGTCCTCCCATGGCTATCAACCAGCCTTGGCATATCAAGCTGCAGTAAGACTAGGTCCACCTTCTTCTACTGAGGCTAGACAAGGCGGCCCAGTTAGGGGAGAGGGATCCAAGAGCAGGCAGTGTAGTCAGAGACGGCCTCTGCTCCTGCTTCAGGGGTCCCACATAAGGATGCAGCTACGTATGTGCAGGGGCTGCCCCGCCTCTTATCAGACAGTAGTATTGTACTGAGCTAGCCACTCATCATTTCTAAGACTCAGTTTCCTCGTTTGTAAAATACATCTGTAAAATACGACATCACACAAGCACTTGTAAGAATAAAAACAGAGTAAGTCATCAAGCCTGGTGAAGTAATATTTTTTTATTTTTAATGATCTGCAATTTTTAATGACTGTTCCTGCCCTCGCCTCTCCTCTCTTTTCCTTGATTCTGCCATATGGCAAGGAGGCCTTAGGAAGCTAACAGGTTTTTATTAGCACATTTACTAAACAGGGTGTCAGTTCAATACCAGTGACTAGGAGTTTCGCTCAGCCAGACTTTGATAAGCAATCAACCAACCAGAGCTCACCATGACCATTCTTCAATTAGGACAAGGACTAAGCCTTAGGGTGAGAACCAATCTCTGCATGTTTGGAGGAGACTGACTCTGGCCCCTACAATGTGTCTCTCAGTTTTGTATTCATTATGGTAACACTGCTAGTTTCTTTCAGGGGATGGGGAGATGTGCCAACACATGCACACAAGGTTTCTATCCCTGCCCCACCTCGCTCGGGTCCTGGGAAGCTAACTTGCATTGGCTTTCCCTAAGAACTTCTTGGCCAACACTTACTGCTGGTTTCAGCGGCTAGCAGGAGCAGAGAACAGTAGAAAGATAGTGGAGTTGGGAGATTTTCCTTTCTACCTCCTGACCAAACCACTCCAGGGTGCCTACATCTCTCTTGCCAGGTAGTCCTGCTTTCGCTGGGCTCTGAGATCCAGTTGCTCCCACTGCTTCCCAAGGCCTCTAGGCAGTCAGAAATGGCTCTGTCATCACTAGCCTAAGGAACTGCACCATTTCTTCCTGGACACTCTCCCGCCACCCATACATCTGCAAATGTTAGTCTCCTCATCTGCCCCTGCAGTATCCTCTTGTTCCTTCTGGAAAGGTCTCCAGGATCCTTTCCAGATCGACTTCCTAGGCTCATCAAAGTCCAGGCTCATGCCTGGCATTTAAAGGCTCAGTAAATACTCTCTGATGAACAAAAAATGCCTGTCAATGGATGCAAAACCTGCATGAGCATTTCTAAGCAGCACCACAAGCTAAGGACATGTAAGTAAACTGTTGATTCAGGCCTAGTTTACTAGCTAGGTGCAGGAGGAGGATGTGGGATCGAGGCCAGGATGGGTTCTAGGTTCCCCACAAGGGCTGCTCATGGCTGGTGTCTGTTCTGAGTTAGGGGGACACAGACTGTGTTCATTTTCAGTTCTTTGGTGCTTTCCAGCCCCCCTTCTTCTACACAAGATTAGAATCGGAAATGGTCCCCATGTGATGACGGCGGAGGCGGAGTTTAACTCTTTTATTAACCTCGTTTGGGATAAAGCTGGCTCCCACATTGTGAACACAGTTAGTCCTTAAATGGATTACTGAGAAAGAGGATATAATTGATACCAACAGAGGAGTCTTTCCTCAGCTCCCAACCTGCGGGAGAGATGACTGTCGTAGACAACTCCCACATCCCCGCTTCATTCAGGGAAAATCGCCCTGGGATGGGAACAAAGCTCACTGGGCTCTGTTGCATGTTTACCCATTCACCTGTACCACATTAGCAGATAGAAGGCATTCTGCATGGGAATGGTGAGGGGGGGGCAAGCTCAAATTATTCAAGACTATTGAGTCTTTTATTGCTCCACCATAAATTGTAAATAAGAAACAGACGTAAGGAACATGCCAGGATGTGATGAAAGCTTTTCAAAAAATAAATAAAAAAGGAGTTCTCTAGGTTCTTAGCTGAGAAGAACGGATGGAGGGAAAATACTTAACGTTTGGATATTTTATTGGTGTTAGAAGGCCTCTCAGCTATCCTGCCTAGCAGATTTCTTTCATTGAATTAAAGAGCCACTTGAAAGGGGCTGTCTTTGAGCTGATAAGGCAGATGATGAAACAGATATATTAATAGCTGATAAAGAGGGGGTAAAGGCATTTTGCCACTGCTTATCAAAATAGAAGAATGCAGCAATTAACTGAAAAGATAAACTGTAGTCAAAGGAACGCTGTGGACTATGTAGAAGACATTCATGTCATCTTTTGTGATTATTTTAAAAGTTTCTATTTGTAGAGAGCAGATATGGAAATTGGAATTTTTATTAGTCTCTCTGATGCAGCAGTAAGAAAAATCAAAGGCTTAATTTGACTCGGTTAGAAAATGAAGCATTAGGTGAATTTTGACTTGTATGAGAAAAACATGTCTTATAGACACAAGTGGAAGAAATGGGGGGCGGGGACACAAAGCAAAAGTCTAAACACACTTTTGCTTTTTAAATCAGCAAATGACCTGGAAGCGGGGGTCTCCTGCATCTCTTTTTAATACAAAGTGCCCTAAAGTGAATCCAGAGATTCCCCAACACTCAAGCCAAACCTCCATTCTGATGAGCATGAATTTTATCAGATGGGTTATTCATCTGACATACACACAGGCACTCAGAGCACAAGAAAGGCTCAACTCAAGGTAGATCTTCCCTCGGAGGATGATGAGACAAGAGTGTTCAACATCAGAGAGGGGAGAACATGTCTATGCGCTGTGGAGAGCATCTGGTAGTCCAGCAGTCCTGCATCCCCGTGCACTGGCCCAGAGAAACACTCAGGTAATGTTCTACATCCCAGAACTGTTTGTCCTTCCCCTCCCACTCCTCAAAAGCCCATGCGTCGGAAATGCATGTTTACCCACTCCCTCCTCTTCCCATCCTTCTCCAGCAGGAGTCCAGAGAGACTGCATGCAGGTTAGAAGGCAAACCACCAGATTTCTAGTGCCAGTTCCTCTTGTCCCTCACTCTGAGGAGCTGAGATTTCTTAATCCAGTACTGTTTCCTCTCCTACAAAGAGAGCACTCTAAAAAGGCCATCCTCATATGCTCTGTTACATGACCCTGAACCAGGTCCATGCTAGCTAAGTACCATCATCATTGCAATTACTTTATTACTAATACTTGCCAAAGGCCTGCGTCACAACTGACAGGCAATAATCAAATGCTGTGGGGGAGGCAGGGAACGGTAAAGCCCGGAAACACTCATGGATAATGAGAATTGAGAAGGACTTTCAAGTTGTAACTCCCTATGATGTTGAAGGGAAAATGGAGGCCCAAGGAGACATAGGAATTTCTCCCAAAGTTGCACGAGCAAATAATCCCAAATCAAAACAGAAGTTGATGCGTCTTGTCCCAATGATAAAGTCATCCTGCTCTGTAGATCTATCTGTGAGTAGAAACAGGGATATTGGTGGCTGGAAAACTGGCTCTGGAATTCAGAGTACTTATTGCTCTTGTAGAAGACCGGGCTCAATTCCTAGCACCACCAACAAGGCAGCTCACAACCATGGATCACTTAAGTTCCAGGGAGTTGGATGCCCTCTTCCGACCTCTGAGGGTTCCAAGCACATACACGGTGCACATACATTCATGCAAGCAAAGCACTCATACATGTCAAATGAACTACATCTGAAAGAAGTATTTTTTAAGAGAGTTAGCTTTAAGTGCCACTGGAGATGGGCTAAGCCAAGATTCCATAACACCAAAGCTAAGGTCAAGCTCCACTGCCACATTTTGAATGTCTTAGACTTTTCAGTGAAAAGTACGTGGGCATCTTCTTACCACACACAAACCTAGGGATAGGCAAAATTCTTCAATATTCAGAAAGGAAACCTGCTCCTCTTGTCCTCCTATTTCATCAATGCCTGTCTTCAACTTGGCTACCTGTCTGCACAGCTGTGAATGGCCAGCAAGGACTCTGCCCATGTCTGGCCCTCTCCACCCCTCCTCCCGCCTCTCCATTAAGCAGCAAGATAAATAACATCTGTCCCGATTGCTCTGTTATTGCACAAGCTGGGGAAGGAATTATAATCTCTATGGAAGGGAAGCATGCTTAGTCAAGCCGACATTGCTGTCATCCAGGAAGCTGGGCATGTTGACTTAATTCATTTCTTGCCTCCTGGTTTTCCTGTCACTGGAACCTGGTTCTTCTATCGATCTTGCCTAGCCAGCAGCATCCAGCCATACAGTTTGATATCTGTGAACACTTGGGACAATCATGAAGGGCTTTCTGCAACAGACACATGGATTCCTGTGGCCCAGAGCTTGGGAATGTGATGTCAGGGCAGCACAAGATTTTCACAGGCTGAAGAGCTGAAAATGAAACCTCGTTGGTGCACCATCTGCTACTTACAAGACTCGGAGATTCTTCAGGCCGGCGAAGTCCATTTTGGTGATTCTGGTGATGTTATTTCTGTCCAGGTCACTGCAATGGAAAGAAAATTCAGGTCAGATTTGTGCGTGTTACACTTACAGTCTATTCCAGGCAGACTGGCTTGGACTGGGGGGATGCTGCCTGTCAGGGGGAAGGCAATTCCAATGATTAATGATATCCCTTGAGCATGCCCAACTAACCTTAAGGAAATTGTATGGAATAAGCCATTCATTATGTATGTAGCAGAGCCCAGCTCTACTTAACTGCCTGTCTTCTGTGGTCCCTTCTTCAAGTAACAAACATATCTCTCAATCCCTGCCTCCCTCCCCCTCCCCCAATTTTCAGATTAATGTATGCAAGCAGAGCTTAGGCCTCCTCACAATTCCAGGGGTTCCAGGGAGGACCAACTGACCCAAGCCAGGCCTTTAAGTATTTTTAATCCCTTCCATTGTCTCAGGAATGCGTGCATGACGCAAAGAATAACTTTCTATCCACTGGGGTAGCAAAGCAGCTCACTGGTATGAGAAGCCATCTTGCTTGCACTAAGGGACAGCGTTCTAGACACAGAAGACGAAGAAAGACATTCTTCATGGCTTCCCATTAGTGTTTGGATCGGCTCACACCTGAAGCCAAATACCTCTGTATTAGGACATTTTTTGAGCTAATATATTCCATCTCCTCTGTGTTTTGGTGTAAGCCAGTTTTGAACTACCAGACACCATTCTGCCTCTGCTAAAGACAGTGTTCCAGGCCCAGAAGATGAAAGAAGCTGTTCTACTTCCATTACTTGAAAACCAAAAGAACTGTTGTGGGCTTTGGTCTATAACTACACAGGCACAAACAGACAACACCATCTTGTCTAATAGACAATAAGGCTTGTACAATTTCTAGCTAGTTCGTAACTCTAACGAGTTTAATGTCCTAACAGGTGCCAATGCACTAGAGCTCGTGCCTAGCGCGCAGTAAAGGTTGGTTCCACACAGCAGGCAAAGGCAGCTGCGTGGATGGATTCCTGCCTCGATCTGGAAGCTTAGGAGTATCTGTCAGGGAAGAGCTGAAAGCTCAGCATGGCAGTTACTGGGGTGAAGGTGAAGGAGGCACCGTGGGCGGCAGGGAACCAAGATCAAAGGGGAATTGAAGTTAGGGAGGAACCTGTGAACTACTAGATATTCTGTATTTCCTCAAATCATCTAAGACCCCTAGATGGAAAAGGGGGAGCATAAATAATGTTACAAGTCTTAACACTGGATGCTGAGCACCAAATTCCTACATACTAGGCCCCTCCTGATGAGAAGGAAGTTTCTAGGGCTTGAGCTTGTGGAGTTTCTACAGAGTATGTGTAAATTGACAGTATATATACTGTCCCAAATCACACACACACACACACACACACGTTTACAGCCTATGGTGTCACACAGTGGAATAATCTTATGAGGACAGTGCTATATGTGTTGGCTGTTAACCAAAGCATCAGGGTAAGCTACCTGGGCAACCAAGAGTTACTTGTACGACAACAGATCCCCAGGATTACCTGTGAGTTATATGCTTTTTATGGAAGAACAGAAAGCAGTCTCCAGTTTTTGTTCTCTGTGTGAGGAACAATCAAGTCTGAGGAGGGATTACCCTTCTGATATCAGAAATTACAGAGAAATAAAAGTCAGTCACGTCCTTGGGTAACCTCGCCTAGACTCCCCTTCCCTCTCTTCAGTTTTCCTAACAGCCATTCAAACTGTTTCTCAGTTTGTGATGGAGGAACACCCCATTTCACCTTTGCTAACTGTGCGGGGTGTTGGTGAAGAAAGGACCCAAGGCACACAGAGAATAGAGAAGGCTCCCGATGCCAGGATCAGACATCAGTGAATTCTGCAACCTCTCAAGCATCATGGGCTCTTTTTTCTATTCCTTCCGGGATCCAGAGAGTCCTGTAGGGACCTTGCCAACTGGGGATACGACAAAACAGCTAAGGGTTTATTTAATTACCAGGACACAGCATGGGACTGCAGCAGCTCATGTTGCGGCTGCTGCACTGATATTTTCAATTAATATTCATTATGAGAAAGAATGCAGTGTGCCACGAAGGTGCTGAGGACATGGCCGGGTGGAGCATACTGTGGGGGTCCTCACACATAGTCCTGGAGCTGAATTCCTTGCCCACCCACCTCCTGAGTGGCCTAATGACCAGGGATCAGGATGCCATGAGTGACCTTGAGGGATGTTTTTGAGGGTTAAATGAGATGCTTTACACTCACAATGCTTGCCTACCACCTAGTAAATCCTCAGTCTCAGTCTGTGGGATTGCTCTAACTAGCTGAAGTACAACTCCTACCTACATACACTGTGAAATTTCAGTTCACCAAAAGAAACCAGGTGCCCCATCCCCTAGGCAGTGTGTCCTAAGCCATTCATTTTGTGGTGGATCGATCTCATAACACTGAGGGTGAGGAACAAAGAGAGAGGAAAAGATACCTACTGAATATTTAATTCTCCACTAAGAGTGGAGTCCATCCTCATAGCTTTCCATGGCTGCTGCTCTGAGACCCTCAGTCCTGCCATCATAGTCAAGGGTGGCTCAAGAAGAAAAGACATTCTGGGGATGAAGTCAGCAATGGTCCTCTTATCCTCAGCCCAGTAAAGACTGCTTAACCAAGAACGGCTACTCCTCCAAGTGGAACTTAGGGAAGCACGCAAATCACTATGACATTACCTTATGCTATTTACGGAACACTCTCAGGCTAGTGAACTGTCCACCAAAGCATTTTTGGTGAATGCACAAACTACATTTCCCAGATTTCCTTGAGCGTGACCATGTGACCAAGTTCACAGTCCTGCACAAGGGGCCAAAATAATACACAATGATGCTTTCAGAGTGGAGCCATAAATCCCTGGCCCAGTGCTCCACATCTATCCCTAGCCTGGATTCAGTAAATAGTGGAGGACTGTTGAGGTGACATATGGTCCAAGCCCACGTCCCTGAGTGACTGCATGGGACAGAGATGCCCGCCTTGCTTCTTTGTTTATACACATCAGACTCGGACATATTCCAGAAATGATTTCAAAGCCACACAAATCCAGGGACTGTTTGTCACGGCAGTCTGTGCTGTCAAATGAGATGTCTTAACTTTCTATCCCTTGTGGTTTTCTTCTAGTCTTTCTAACAATTGTTTCCATCAACAGATGAATGTCTATAGATGAACCTTCCTAAGAACTGCTGTCTGCTGAGCCCATGCTAGGCACTCCATGCTAAGCACTTAGTGTAGGTCTCTAGTCCATTGGTCCCTGTTTATTATCTTACTTTTTACACAAGGAGACTTAGCCTCCTTCTCTGCTCTTCTGAAGAAACTTGATCATGAGGTCACATGTCAGAAACTAAAAGGATTGTAACCCAGATTACTTGAATACAGAGGCCGTGTGTGTGTGTGTATGTGTGTGTGTGTGTGTGTGTGTGTATGTGTGTGTGTGAAAGCACGCTCACGTGCACATGTTCCACAAATGTGCCTATAAAGTCAGAAGTTAATGACAAATGTCTTCCTTTTGTTCTCCACCTTATTTTGTTTTTGTGGCAGTGCCTTGCGCTCACCCACTGGCTGGACTGTCTTACCAGTGAGCACCAGGATCCTTCTCTCTCCATCTCTGGGTCCTGGGGTTAGAGACAAACACTACGGTGCCTGGATTTTTGTATGTGTGCTGGGTTCAGGATTCGGGATCTCCTGTTTGCGTACCAAACACTTGACTCAATGACCCACCTTCCCAGCCCTATAGGCCAGGTCATTTTTAGCCATCACATCCTCCTGATGCCCACCAACCACGAGTCCAAGCATTTTTGCAATGTGTAAAGTTATCTAGTGTGTGGAGGGGGAACAGAAAATACATAAATAAATAGAATGAGACAAAAGAATTTCTCATCCCTTTATCCTAATGACAGCAAGGGAATACACCTAGTAGCTTGGCTGTCCCCAGCTCCAGCCAAAATAGTACAGTTTCTGCCCTGTCTCCCTCAGAGCCTAGGCAGCAGGAATTCCGAGCTTCTCTGCATGCCCAAGGATGCACTCTATGTTTGCCCATGACTGGTGTCTCCCATGCTGCCTCTAAAAACAGGCATCACCATAGCAATCTCCTGCATTGTTTTTCCCTATCCCAGAGAATGAATTATAAGCCAGGGTTGAGGCTTGAGTTCTGTGGTATTTTCACATCTGTTTGACACCTTGGGTGGAGTGGGGAGGAAGAGGAATTCGGAGCAACAGTGGAAAAAAAAATGAAACAAAAATAACATCGTCTGGGCCAGGCTCTTGTCTCTGTCTTGGCATATGCACACACGCACACACGCACACACGGCACCCCCTTCCTCCTTTACTCTGCAGCATTCCTACAGATCTTTCTTTGAGTCATAGCACATCTGGGAAGAGGGAGGTGTAAAGATCTACCCCCCAGTGAAACCGCAAAACATAGGGAAAAGAGACATCCAAGGAAAAGCCAGAGGATGTGGGTTTGAATCCCGGCTTCCTCACTTCCTCGTTGGGTAGCCTTAGAAAAGACACAGCTGTGCTCAGACTCACATATGACTAATGCTGCTGTGACAACCCATAAGATATGACCCAAATGTCAGCTCCAGGGTTACCTGGAGGCTCAAGATGGAAAGCATGTGAGGAAGCTCGGAGAACCCATGGAGCAGTTCAGTGACTTGCAGAGACAGGATGCGGTGGTGTAGGTTGGGATACAGCTCAAAGGTGTTTGTCTGTGATGGAGATGCACACGAATAGCCCCCACCTCACGGTGACTAGGATTATGCTTTCCCTACTGCATGATAGTACTTAGACAATTATTCTGTCTTTATTTTTAATAAATTAGATGAGATACTCAATAGCTTGTTGTAAAACAGACTCTGGGTTACATGACTTTCCTAACTTTGGGCTGATATAAGTGTTTGAGGCTGCTGAAAGCAGACTGGCTATGCTAGGCTGTTCTGTGTGCAGGTGAGTTAAACAGTTTCTGACCTTCAGCATACAGTGACATGTGACTCTCATTGTTGTAGGTAAGAGGCACACAAAGAATAT